CTTGCAGCCTGATCAGGGACACTTTTCTTCGGGGAACAAAAAATCCCACTGAGACGAAGGCTGAAGCAGGCGCCTCCATTCCCTCCTCGAGGACTTCTGACCCTAATAGTTGTTGGGTGCCTTCAAGTCATTTCCAACTTCTGGCGACCCTTTCATGGGACTTTCTTGGTGTTGTGATTTGAGTGTTGGACCAGAGAGACCAGGGTTCGAATGCCGGATCAGCTATGGAAGCCCACTGGGTGACCTTGGGCAAGTTACACTCTCTCAGCCTCAGGTAAGGGCAAGGGCAAACCTCCTCGGAACGAACCTCCTCGGAACAAACCTCTGAATAAACCTTGCTATGAAACCTCCAGGATAGGTTCCTCTTGTGTGTGTGTGTGTGTGTTGTTGGGTTGTGTGTCTTCAAGTCTGTTCCGACTTATGGCAGCCCTAAGGCCAAGCTATCATGGGGCTTTCTTGATAAGATTTGTTCCAAGGAGGTTTGCCCTCGCCTTCCCCTGAGGCTGAGAGGGTGTGACTTACCCAAGGTCACCCAGTGAGTTTCATGGCCGAGCAGGGAATCGAACCCTGAACTCTGGAGGTTCCTCTTAGGGTCACCTTGAATCTGAGACGACTTGAAGGCACACAGCCACAACAACACAAGGATTCTCCAGCTTCTCCGCCTGAAAAACAGCCAGATCTCTGGAAATTTAGGGTTATTCCAAGGTGGCAAACATCAGATCAGATTGGTTAGAATATTTGTTGGTTGGTTTGTTTTAAAGAAAAACCATCTCTTTCCCTGTCCAGCCCTTGGTCCCAATCCAGGACTGACTTGCTCTTTGTGTGTGTGTGTGTTTGTGTGTTTTCTCCCTTAAAGAAGAGGTCAAGTGGATCGACTTGTCAGATGATGTGATGCTCCAGGAGAGACCTTTGCCTGCCGAATGCGGACACAACAACCATGGTGAGGAAGGGGTCCCCAGAATGACTGGTTTCTCCCCCCAAAAATCATGCCCTCCCAAAAACCAACCCAGCCTCTTTGATGCCCTCATTCATCATTTAAATCCTCTCTCTTTGTCTTTTGTGTGTGTGTGTGTGTGTTTTACAACCTAAAGATCGCTGCAAGTGTAAGAAAGTGAAGCCCACGCTTGCTACCTATCTGAACAAAAACTACAGCTACGGTAAGGCATGGTTTAAATCAATCAGTCAATCCATCCATCCATCATTTTATTTATTTATTTATAAAATCACTTTAACATCATTTCTCATCATCATTAACATCATCTTATCATTTATTGTTGGTTTTCATTTGCAATCCACTCCCAAAAGAGAGAGAGAGAGAGAGAGAGAGAGAGAGAGAGAGAAGACTCCCCACATTTCTTAATAATAATAATAATAATAATAATAATAATAATAATA